ATTGATTTTGATTAGGTGATTGGTATTATGGGAATTGAAATGGCTGGTGGTGTTTATTGTCCATTATCACCTCGAGATCCACAACATCGTTTGCATACACTCACACAACAAACACAAAGTCGTCTTGTTCTTGTTCATCATTTAACCAAGAGCAAGTTTCATTATAATATTGTAATACTTGATATTGATTTAATAGTGTGCGGCAACGAGAGAAGGGATAAAGGTGCCGTCGATGGACTATCAAATATTTCAGTAAAAGAGGACGATACGGCTTATATCATCTTTACAAGTGGTTCAACAGGAACACCGAAAGTGGTTAGTCTATAATGAATAGTGATGCCTTTTTTGATGAGGTAACAATAGTTCGTCTTCGTTTAGGTTCAAGTGCGGCATGGAAATTTCAATCAGTATATATATTCATTAGTATGTGGTGATGTATTGAAGGAGAAAGATACAATTATACAAATAGCGCGTTGTTCGTTTGATGTTCATGTTCAAGAAATACTTGGTACATTGACAACTGGGGCTACACTGGTCATGCTGCATTCAGGAGGTATTACAGATCCAAAGTATCTTGCTGATATCATCAAAAAAAAGAATATTACGTGCATTACCGCTGTACCAACTATTCTTCAAATTTTATTTGCTTTTCTGCAACAGTCTACTGATGTGTCAGCTTTAATGAGCCTGCGATGCATTTGCACTGGTGGTATGTAATCTTTCTGTTAAATATCTCTCTCCTGTTCCATTTTTCTACCTTTTTTTTAGGTGAAATGTGGTCTGACAGTCTGGTTACCTTAATTTTTAGTTCAGTCGCGAATGATTGTAAACTGTGGAACCTTTACGGTCCAGCTGAAACAACTATAGTTTGTACCGTCTATAGAATAAATCTCATGGCTAATACACAAAGCATTGCAATTGGTAGACCGCTTTCTAATTACCGATGTATGATTATGAATCAATATTTACAATCATCTGTTACCGGCCAAGAAGGTGAACTACTTATAGGTGGAGTGGGTGTCTTTGCTGGTTATCTTGGACGTGATGATTTAACTGCAAAAGCTCTTGTTGAAGTAGATGATGAAATATTTTATCGAACAGGTGATCTTGTTAGAATTGATAGCAATGGTCTTCTTCACTATCAAGGAAGAAAAGATCATCAAATCAAACTACATGGACAAAGAATTGAGCTTGGTGAAATCGAACGATGTTTACTTAGCATTACATCTATTTCTGCGTGTGTTGTGATGAAATGGAATGACGATTATTTAGTTGCTTATGTTCAATCTTCTCATACCAACGAAGAACAACTACGTCAACATTGTCAATCTCATCTTCCACCACATATGATTCCATCAATATTTATTATACTTAATAAACTACCTCTGAATCAAAATGGTAAAATAGATCGAAAACTTCTTCCTTCACCTCACTTTTCATCTAAACATCTTACGAACAGTATAGAACTATTACTACCAATAAATGATTTTGAAGTTAATCTTCATCGCATTTGGTGTGATATACTAAAACAAAATCAAATCTCAACTGATACAAATATATTTACTATTGGTGGTCATTCATTAATTATAATGCAACTTTTTCATCGATACAAGAGCGAGTTTCATTTAGAAACAAATACTCTTTCTATTACCGACTTATTTCAACATCCAACAATTATTCATCATGCTCAACTCATTCA